CCACCCACCCCCCACTTAAAACGGGCCTGCGCTTCCTTGCCCTTCTTATAGCCTGATAAAGTGGTCGTGGACTCTGTGAATTTTCAGCTGGCCTCCCTCCCGAGGGTGCTGCCTTCAAAAAGGCCCCTGTTGTTCTGGGTACAAAGAAAGCCCTGAGCATCCTCCATGCACTGCTTCCTTCTCCTAATCCCGGAAAATCAGGGCCGTGCTAGAAATAAGGAACACGACGGGACCTACCCGGACAGTGCACAGGATCGCGCTCCAAGATTCAAAGATACAAAACAACCAAATTTTGAGTCACACAGCAGCCCTCAGTCAACCAGAGGAAGGCGGATTTCTGTTTACCACAACTGAGGTGAAGTGAGCATCACTCACTGCTGATGCAACTGTAGGACACTTAGACTATACTTTATTACATTTCAGTCTCAAAGCATTAAGGGATATTATTCATCCATGCCAGGTTGTATGATTGTGAAAAAGGTTGAATATTGAGGCTGCTATTCATGGGATATTGGTGTAGTAAGAGAGAAAACCATTGGTAACTTAAAATCATTTGTACAAGTTTCAAGTTTAATTTCATTCATGAGGAATACTATCTGATTACTGAAATAAGTGTAGATGGACAAAATTCCATCTTCGCACTCTGTTCCAAAATCAGATTTTCTACCTGTTTATTTTATTGTACTGGTTTAACTATTGACCTAAGGAAGAGTTCTGAGTAGCTTAAAAGGTCACATGACAGACTGGTTCTAAATGAGAATATTATTTTTAAGGTTTCTGCATGTGTATGTGTATGTTTGGTGCTGTGCTATGAACTTGCTCCTTGGAGAACTCTTTGGAGAATGCACTGTGTTACACATACCATTTTTGTTCTTCTTTGAATCAGATTTGACTCCTGGCAACTACAAGGAAGCAACTTTTTCAGAAGTGGTTTGCCACTGCCTTCTTCCTCTGAGAGAAAGTGACCAGTTCAAGTTCACCAGCTGCCTTGCATGCCTAAGGCAGAACTAGAACTGAGGTATCATTGCTCCCA